CACTGAGTCCTAGCCCCCCGTTGGTCCCTCTCTGGTCCCCCCTAGGCCCCCAAGCCCCTGTGAGCTTCCCACAAAAAGTTCACAATGCTATTCAAACAATAGGGCAAGGGACAAAGAGCACATTTACACAAGTGGAGCTTTCTTTAAAAGCAAAAAGGCACTGTTTGGAAGATTTCCAACCCTCCCCCCCCTTCAAAACAAATTTTTGAAGAAGAAACAAGGATCCCCCTTTCGCCCCTCCATGCCCCACCTCTCAATGCCCTTGCTTCACAAAAAAAAGTTCACCATTCCAGTGATGGAGACGTGGGAGCCAAATATTCTGAACCCAGCCCAATCCCACCCGCCAGTCCACAAGCACCCCCAATTTAGCCAAACACCCTCTTTACAGGACAAAAGCCCTTTAAAGGCTGAGTGTATGTGAGGGCTCTGGTGGATACCATAGTGGCTTAAAGACCGTGGAGGCCTCTAAAAGACACTTCTTTTACTCCCAGTCTCCTTCCATTCCTCTCTATTTCTTCTCTCTATGTCTTCTTTTTCCTCTCAGTATTTCTCTCAGGAAGTGAAAGGTTCAGCAAGCGGGAGAAAGAGTTTTGGTAGCATGGGGAGTGGGACCCAAAATGGGGTGGGGGAGGGGGTGATGAGGGCTTTCTTGTGTCAACATCGTGTTATTTTCCCAAAGATGCATATCACCTCTATACAAATAGGCGATGTATTTATAGGAGTACATTGAAAGCTGCGTGATTGGAGCGTTTGGCCGAGGTTTCTGGCCATGGCCCCCGCGGCTCCATGGACAGTCTTCATGGCTAGTGAAATTGTTATTCTTTAGATGGACGTTGGCTGGGAAACACGCAAGTTCTCAGGCGACCACACAATATTTGCCCTCCCAATATGGCTGCCCTGCAGAGGAGCCTATTGAACGACGAGGTCCAGCATCATACATCTTGACTGGAGCTAGTATCCCAAGGCTCCTGTCGCTATGCCTCGTGTGGAATGTAGTAGAACGCCAAGAATGGTCGGAGAGGCAGGGCACACACTGTGACCCATTTCATTTCTGCAATACCAAACAAGTCATCCCAGCTTCAAGTACTGCACATAGTGATGATGATTTTGCAATTATGGTAGCAAACAACCAAGCCAAGCTTTCTCTTTTTAAGAAGAAGCGAACCAGTTGAACAGGTAAATGCAGAGTTACTTGGTACGTACCGACGTCACTCTCTTAAAGGAAATTTGGCAGCACACATGATCAAATATAAAGGAAAAAAACAACAACATTCCAGCACTTTATTCTTTTGTACTATAATCCATCGAGCCACTCCTCAAACAAATATTCTTGGATCTATATAATGCATTCATGACAGCACTTTTGCAATATCCCAGTCCAACCAGGGTTGTCTGCGACTATAAAAGCTGGTGGGGTTTTAGTGCATTTCATTCTTTTAACTGAGACAAAGTTGTTAAGAATGTCTTTAAGCAATAATTGTCCCTTAAACGTATTTATAATGTTATATTACTGTAGACCCTTTTAAACAACAGGCCTCTCAATAAAACAATTACATTGTAATGTATCAATAATGTGGGCTTGGATCCCAGAAATACAAAAAAAATTATATACTTGGGCAAGTAGCGTTTGTAGTTTTCACCTTATTTGAATTGCATGCCATTGACAAACTTAAAGTGATACACTGTTTTGAAGTTTAAGTGAAATAATACATAGTTTAAAAAACTTAGAAGGTCAAAATGTTTTCTAAATAGGAACACTGCTAAATGATAGAACAAAATTTTCCACTTTCAACAGAATCCCCCTTTCTGAAACAGAAACTCGGGGGTGACATGAGAGTCTGTGGTATAACCAGTCTCTGCTGTTTGCTGAAGCTGCAGCTCCCTGTGCATCACGCTCACAACAGGACATGCAATCCTACACAGCAAGGCACCGAATACAGCAGCAAGCATAAACACACCTGAATAACATAGAAAGGGTCCTGCAGCGAGTGCGCGTGTGTGTGCGTGTGTCTTAGACAGCGCTGATGCAGGGCTGAGCACCACAGTCCTGTTAGGTTGCATTGACGTCTCCACCTCAGAGCTGCCACACTGGGGAATTATTGATTACCATTAAGCATCCATGCAGATGGCCAATAAAGAGCACGTGAGCCAAAGAGGATCTGGGGAACACAAAGAGGGGAGGTTGTGCATGTGTGTTAAGAGTCCATTAGGAGGCAGTAGAAATAAGACAGTGTTTGAGATTGTAAAAAATTGATATATTAATATATATAGCCTTTTTGCTTAGATTTTTTATATATTATTTTGTTTTTGCACCTATTATCAAGTAGCACTGCAAATTGAAGCAGATGTAAAATGATCTAATCATTTTAATTTTCAAAATCATCCAGAAGCCATATTTTCCAGTTCTCACATTACACCCTCGGGCTTTAACATTATGCAAGTTCCTACATGCTTGTCAGGTATTGTGCATTAGTCCATAACTTCACTGTCACATCTTATCATTTGAAATCGAATGCAGAAATTGATTATCCTGTGGCAACGCACAGCACATTTACACAGTTTCATTCAGCTCATCACCTGCATCGGTTTACCTTAGAAGGCTAAATGTGATGAAGAATTATGATTTTCACACAAGATGTCATTACCACAACAGTATCAATGCTGCAACATGTTCAGTTATAAAGATGAAGTTCAAATAAGTGTTTTCGATAAAGTTCACCATCTATCATTCAATGATTTTGCATTATATCCAAGGCATATTAAAACTTAAGTTGAAATTGTTTTATATTGCTTAAGTAGGTCTAAACTAGGTGTCCGTCTGATAGAAGCTGTTACTATTGATGCCCCCCTGAGGATTTCATTAGTTCTAAACAAACCAAATCTGATTTTGTACATTTCTGCTGCAGAAAAAGATTACGCATAACAGCTTTAAAGTAACACACATTTCTAATCCTTTTAATAAAACAGAATGTGGCTCATTATTTTCATTCATAATACTGTACACCAATTGTGATCATCGGTCATAAGTCAGAAGTAGGCCTTTGCAATCTTTGGTGTTTGTCTCATACCAGACTTTTTGAGGTACAAAATTATGCTATCAGCATAGCCTCTTGCAGCAAATCTGCATCAGGCATTTTCTGCCACATTTTATGCCTGTACTATGGAACTGTGGCAATATGACTACTAATTTGGTAACATCAGGAGTCTTAATCTATCAGCCGGTGCAAAGAAGCAGAACTTAATGGAAACAGAGCAATCAAATATAACAATATGGAATTAAAAATATTAGGAAGATTAAAATCCTAAAAACCTTTGTAACGTAAAAATATTAAACAATTTCCTTTTGGCATCAAGACAAAAAACAATTTCAAGTAATCTTGTTTGCACAACCCCCCTTGTAAAAGGTTCCAATTACCTTGCAAAATTTTTTTTTACACACCTCAAAGTAATTTTTATTTGTAAAGCAAAACATGCTTTAGAAAAGCATGTTTGTTTAAAGGCCCCATATTATGCAAGATTTACTTTATAATAAATAATTTGTTACAGTCCTATATGTCCTGAATTACACAATACAATTTACACACTGCCTTTTGTCTTACTGTTTCATATCTTATCTAATGTGTGCTCAAAATGATCTGTTTAAAAACCATGCCCTTTATGATGTCATAAGAGGAAATATGCTGTCCAGAGCGATCTGTAGCAGCCAATCCGTCAAGCTATGGCCTTCATTTTAAGAAGTATTCTGTGCACCTAGACTATCTTTACAAACTGGTGTCATGGTTGCAGGTTGTGGGGGCGGGGCCTTCGGAAGGACGGAGACATGGAAAGCCATAACAGCTCGCTTAAAAGGACTGAATGAGGAGTTGTTTGATACATGCTGTCTGCCTAATCTTAGAGGAAATGTAGAAATGACTAAAACATTTGTTCTGGGGACCTCATTGTTATTATTTTATTTTCAAATGTAGCATATTATGGGACCTTTAAATACAGTATAAAGTGAAAATGCATCAGATAGGAAGGAAAACAGTGACATTTACATTTTTTTCTGTTGGAGCGATTTCTTTGATGAGGTCTAACTAAATATCAGTTAGTTTTTATCGTAAGGCTTGAGGTAGATTCTAAAAAGCTAAGCTTTTATTTTCTGCATCACAGTGAGTCCAAGCATATAACAAAAACTACCAAAGAAGTCCTTCTGAGAGGAATATTAAAGTTTTGTAGTGGCTTTACAATAACAAAAACACCGAATAAAATATAGTTAACCCTTTATAGGGCATTCAGTGAAAGACTTTAAACCTCTAAATTTCAAGCAAAGAGTACACTGCAAAAAACTTAACTCTACGTAAGTCAGTTTTTCTTAAAATAAGTGCATCAATAAGTGCATTTTTTCCTGAACTGAGCAGGTAAGTAAGATACTTTGCAAATGGAATAAGAAAATTTACATTTAAAATAAAGGGGGGAAATGCAGTCTCCTATTTCAAGTGCATAATATCAAATAATCTTATTTTAAGGATAAAAATACTCCTTCAACTGGGAGATTTTCTTATTTACCTACTCAAAATAAGGGTAAATACACTTATTTTAAGACATTTTCCCTAATTTATAGATCATTTTTGTAGTGTGTTATTGGAATCCAGGACAAGACTTCATTACCTTTGTAACGTTCAAAAAGATGCATATTTTGGTGGCATAAATGAATGTGAATGTAATAAACAAGAAACACCAATTTGCCCGTAAATATTAAGCAAAATAACAAAAGTGCTTCTATAAGAAATTAATGAAAAACACTCTGAGAGTAAAAGAAATGGCACTCCATTTGTAAGGGGTGGTATGCAAGTGATCAGAAATGGTAACTTGCCCTATAAAGGGTTAAAGTACATGGGTGCACATGGTTTCTGTAAAGAAATAATACTGAAGTGGGAAGGAAAATATTGTAAAGTACAGATATGAAATGGTACAACCTGACCCAGAGCATTTTGAAGCACTTAACAAAAGAGACAGAATTCCACCTTTAACATCATATTTATTGTTATTTAGTTACTCAATAAAACATATACAGATATATACAATATGCAGGAAAACAGACGACTGCACTTTACATATTATTAAAAAAAGGAAAACAATAACAAAAAAACCTGTTTGTAAATTGCCGTCACAGTCCTCCATCTATTGTTCAAGAAATTCAAATTCAACAGAAGCATTAAAGGTTACAAGATTGCCTAACACACAGCAAAATGTTCTCTTATTATACATGTGCAATACCAATAATCTTTTTTTTTTTTTTTCATTTTCCCTTATCAAACAAACCCCTCGACCTTCTTTGTTGTTTTTAGTTCCCATTGGCTGAAATGGATACAAGTGGTTGAGCTCACATGTACAGCGGAGAAGAGAGAGACAGAGAGAGGAAAAAAAAACCTTTTCAGCAAATTAACCAACAGAGAAATACGAATTCAATGACTGAGCAGCAAATGATAAGAATTCAAAACTTCTTTAACAAATAGAAGAGTTCACAAAAAAAAAAAAAAAAAGATTAAAAATGCTGAGGTACATTCATGCATAACTGCCCCTCCTCTAGCCTTCTTCTGGGTCCTTTTCTTCTGGCTTTGTCTAATGAACCAGCAGGCATCTTTAGAGAAAATTTAGCCCACCATTGGTCAAACATCCATCCCCAAGGTCAACTTTAAAGGTGTAGCCATAACCGAGGTAAGAGCAGTAGGCTGCAATAGCAACAGAGTAAAAAGCGATGAAGCCGATTTCACATCACCAATACTTAAACACTGGTATACAATCAAAGCCAATGACAACTGACATCTGTTCCTCTGTTTCTCCTGCTTTTCTCTTCTCCTCCTTTAACATATCTTTATTGTTCTTCAACAATGAAATCAAAAGGGAAAGAAAAAAGTGGATTTGAGGTTTTCCAGATGTGGGAAGCAGCAAGTCAGACCCACGTTTTATTGTCCAGCAAAATTTTAACTTGTGACTGCATGTGTCTAAAAGAAAAATAAAAAGAGGGGGGAAAAAAACATGGCAATTGTTTCTGTGTGTGAGTGTTCATGTAACTCGCGTTCGTGGTTTTGCGTTTATAAGCGCAAATGTCTCTCTCCCTGAACAGGCAAGAGCCGCACACAGCTGTCTCGTAGACATATTGTCATCATCATCATCATTATTTATTTATTCATTTTTTTGTCTCTGAGGTTCTCCTTCAGTTATTTTTTTGTTCTGTTTTTCTGGTTTTGAATCCTTCCTTTTCCAAGTTTTTTTTTTTTTGCTCAAGTTAGAGCTGCCACAAACGTCCCAAATCGGTTTGAGATGTCAGAGTGAATGGAGCGCCAAGAGGAGACTGGTCCCCCTCGGCCCTTGCTGTCCCCCAGCTCGTCTGTACAGTGGACGGACAGGCACTGCAGGTGGTTCCCGCCGCTGCTCCCACCACCTCCTCCTCCTGCGGCTCCTGGGGGTGCAGCACCAGTCTTACTCTGGGAGAGGTCGGATTCTGCACAGAAGCACAGGAAGTAGAAGGTTAATTAAGGCTTCAACATCTCCAGGCAGCTGACATCCTCTTTAGAGAGATAAAACATTTAAAACATACACATTTAAAAAAAAAAAAACAGTGTTATTTTCACATCCCACTCTAAGTCTGCACTGTGAAATTAATTCAACACCATTCCACCATCACTCGTTTTCGTCAATAAGACCAAAAATGAAGCCTGTAAGCAAAGCCTCCTCTTCTCACAGTCCACCTCCTCACTGTCTGAAAGAGTGTGAAAACAGGCGCGCACAAAAATAAAAATGTGCAAATTCCAAAAAAACTCCTGCATGACCTCCAATCAGTGGGTCAAAGGGCTCGGAGGAGACTGACCTTTTTTTAATCTGCTTGACCCGATTTATGGGCATAATGACCATGACACAGTATCGACCTTGTGTCAGCAAAGTGAAGTCTCCTATTAAACAGTTGTGGAAAAATCCATAGATAGGTTGATTAAACATTATGTGAAAAGCAGAGGTCCACCAAAAAAATCAGCTGGTGACTGGAATTGGTCGATTTTATCCTTGACTGGCTGATTTGGGTTCGGCTGATCAGGAATAATCTGATCAGTCAGGGCACCATCCCTCAGCACAAGCTGGTCACAAACATCACTCTTCAGTAAGGAATTTGCTACCAGGGAGAAAAGAGCTATCTAGATATATTCAGCATCAATGAGATGTTTAAAAACAAACTCAGGGGGAAGGACAAAAGCTATATAAAGAAAAAGGGAACTGATTTTGTGTAGGATGTTTATTCAGACACCAGGAGTTTGACATTAAAATGAAGATGAACATATGAGCATAAAGTGGCTATTTTTTAGCCTTGTGAAGAATCCAGTTCTAATCTGTCATCTAACATGTTGGATTAAGCCATGCTGACAGTCTCGTGGAAATATCACAGTTAAAGTTTATTATCTTAATGTTTTTTGTCACCAAATGAAAGTGAAATCCTGCAGCGCTGTGGAATACCAACTGCTCCCTCTAGATTACTGCTAGTATTTTACAGTAAGAAGTTACTAACAGCTTTAGCATTTTTAAAAGTACCTTTGAGAAATAAAATTTAAGCGAAAAAAAACACAAAGCATTATGAGACATAATTTGTATTTTAAAGGCTTAAATCGGAGACAAAGTAATTTTGTTTAAGTTTTAATTAAAGACGCCACACTTAAACTGCAGCATCTCCTCTATTTTGACGTACTGTTGAGTAAAACCCTGTCTTTTTAATAGGAATATCTTTATTTTCATTTTATATTTAATTTTTTTTTGCAAAAAGTAGAAAAATAGCAAAAATTGCAGTTATACTTCTTCAAATATATATATACATATAAATTGTTGATTAAAAATTGTCTACAGTATATAAATCTCCACAAAAAAGATGGAATAGACAGACACCCAACAAGCACACAGCACATGTGAAGAAATATGTGTACTATGTGAGGAAATGAACTGCTAAAGAGAAGATGGTGATTAGTGTGAACGTCCTGAGTGCAGCTTCACACCTCCTCATATCTATCTGCTAAGAATAAATAAAAAAAGGGTAGAATTTAACGAGATCTAATCAGGACACAATCAAAACAGAGAAGGAGTGGTGGTGGGGCTATGTGATGTATGCCACTAATACAGCATCATGTGCTTTTGGGTTTTGCCTCCAAGCAAGCCCTAAGCAGAGAGAAAACTGCGAGTGAAGATGTTAGCGATCTTTGGTTTACATCAGTCCGATTAATCTCCCATCTCCTCAGCACAAAACTGCACCACTGCCTTTCTCTGTGTGGATGGTTCAAACACACCAGATCAACCGTGAGAAGACACAAAGCTTTGAGGTTCAGGGACAAGTTGGTGTGTGAGCGCAGAGGCAGGTGGAAAACATCTTTGACAAGCTGAGTTACATGTGTCAGAGACGGTGGGGGGGCCAGGCTGTGATAGACGACAGTTTGGGCGCAGAGAAGCTCAAGATCACAACACTCCAGTCAGGGTGATGCTCACCTGAGGGAAGAGCGAACTGTTGCAAAAAAGCCCTTCATGCCTGTAGCATCTGCAAGCTTACTTCTCCTTTTCAGCTAATCCATTTAGTATCTTTTAATTTTTTTATTCACAGTTGTCATTTTTTTCCATAAAGCTTGTGGCAGAATAGAATGAAAAAACAAAACTGCGACGACCAAAATACAGGGCAACTGAAAGAGGCAGACATGCAGGCGAACCCCCCAGCCAGTCTGGGCTGCGACCAGTGGAATGGAAAAGTGCAGGGATTTGGTGAAAGGTCAGGCAGCCAAGTCTCCTGTTATTCCTCTTTTCATCTGCTTCTATCACCTCTGCTCTCTGTAGGATTTCTCTCCGTCTCCCTACCTCGATCCAGGGGCCTGATAGAAGCATGTATATGGTGTGTTTGGTCGTTTGGCAAGCAGGAAGAGGATTTTAGAGCAATGCTGGTGGTGGCTTTGACAAGATCTCACGTTTGCCAGAGGGTCCAGTCACACACCTCAGCACGGCTGACCCCCACCCTCCAAAAAAACCCACCCCCTGCCAGTTCAACCCCCACATCCCCTCACACTCCCTCATCCCAGCTCTGTGCCCTCAAGCACCCGCCAGCAGCTCATGCTAGCTGGGCACAGCAGGGTCCGTACCGGCCTGAATAGGCAGCCAAGCGTTCCCCTGGCTCACTGCTGACACACAGCAAACTGACAACGCACAGCCAAAAACACAGAGCACACCAACCGCTGCTATATTCACACCAGCCTTCAGCTGCTGCTACACACACACAGAACCTGAAAGCAAGGACATGCATGCACAAACACACACACTGTCATACAACCACAGCAAGACATATTACTCCGCTTCAAAGCAAGGACGGCGGTGGAAAATAACACAGAAGAAACTACACATGGATAAAAACCAGACATGACTCCTATCTTTAAGATCACACAAACGTACTCATATTTAGCATTAGAATAATCCCAGTATTCATGTTCAAGGGATTTTCTTTGTTTTTTTTTATTCAACTAGGCTTGAGTTAGTGCAATAACTTTCAGTCTAATAAGAAAACAAATCACTGTATTAGTAATAAGAATTCAAACAAAATGAACAGATTATATCCTTTTTATTGCTATTACAGTTTTCTTTTTTTTACATTATATTGCATCATCTTTTCTTTTACCCCCCGTTCTTTGGAATTTGAAATAGAGCAACAGAATAGAAAGTAACCAACTAATATTTTCTGACATCTGGGTTAAAAAACGCTGCAGAACAAAATGCAACTCATAGCTTCCCAGCTGTGGTCTTTAAACAGTGTCACCTTAATAGGAGTAATGACTGCAGCTCTTTTAGTTTCCACACAGCGTGTGAATAAATGCTATTCTGTGCACTTAATGACTTTAAATATAATAAAGTCAAATTTGCTTTTGTTGTGAATGAGGTAAAGATGAAGTGGCCTTCTTTCAGCCAGCTGACAGGCAGAGCAACAGGTGGGGAAGGGGGAGTGCTCTTATCCTGTGCTCTCAATTTTTACATTTTGGGTTTTTTAAACCAGCTTTGTAAAAATAAGTTAGTATTTTTCCACACTGTGAAGTATTGGCCAGTTATCAGCGACAAGACGCATGGCTGCAATAAAATCCAGATGGTGATTATAATGTTCTGGAAGACGGAAAAGTCTTTTTGGAATGAGATAGGCTCCCATACATAGAGAAACCTTTTACCAATTATGTGATCAACTGGTTTTAATTTTAAAGCTGAAAACCATTCATTTCAGTTTCACTGTTGAGCTTTTATTCAATTAGAATATACACTATAGAAATCTAAAGAATTAACAAAAGTTTGGCCCTGATTCTATAGACCTACACTCAATCTTAATGAACTTTAGACTGCTTTAGATGCTATTTAGGACCAAATAAATAGTTTTTCCATAATACAAAAGCTACATATATATATATGTATATGTATATAAATAAAACTTAACTTTGGAGGGTATCCAGGCCAGGGAGGATTCACAAATATATTCCCTAAACCATTAAAAAAATAAAAATAAAAATCAAGATGCCACACTTAAATTATCCATGACAGTAGATTTGTGTTCAAAGGTGAAGACGGCAGTGTGAAATTCAAAAATCACACAAGTCTAAATCCCAAATCACCATGACATTTTACAAGGAGGAATTTTCTTCAATAAAATCTGCCTGGCTACGGTTGTTCATTGACTCACGCAGAATTCATATCCACGGTAATATCTCAATAATAGCCCATTCACCTGAAGGAAACGAGCGCTTAGCTCCAACCAGCGAGAGAGAAAATGCCTAATAAAAAAGGGGCAACGCTAACAGCGCAGGCAGCTGTGCTCAGCCACAAATACACCTTAATATCCTTAACCACATTACAGCCACAAAGGATTACCAAAGACATGCGCTAAATAAATACTGAATTCAAAGTGATGCATTTATGCGGCCATATCTCTCACCCCAAGTGCAGTATATTTTTATTTGGTGCCTGGTGATGATGCTCACACACATGCACACACACACACACACACACACACACACACGGAGTAGTAGCATCAGCAGGGTTGTGAAGCAGTTTTTACAGACACAGCCAGAAACGATTTACAGAGATGAGTGGAGCTTGAATGCCATGAAGGCAGGGAGCACAGCGCACAGCTCCGGTTGTCTGGATGACACCAATGTGTCTGGGAGCTGACGGTCTGACACGGGTTTACATGTCAAACTGCACACACTCTGAGTAGCACAGTAAGGTAAACAAAGGCTGCTCGGAGAGCGTTTTCCTGCCAGCTCCGTATTAACAGTTACAGAGTACAATTAGTTTTTCAAATTAATCTTAAAGCAGCGCCGCTAAATGATTTGAATAACAAAAGAAGGTGACAAAAGAAATATGGAGGGCTTGAAAGGTTGCAGCATGAACTGATAGGTATACATAAAAATATGATTTTTAAAAATCCTCCGGAAAGGACAGCATTTTCACAAAATC